TAAAAAACTTAGTGTAAGTAAGGACTTCAGTCTCTTCTTCATCTGTTATCAAGACCTAAGACTTAGGCTAACTCCCATCTAATCCCATTTTCATGGAGCTTCATATTCTAAATTATTTTCTTCTTTGATATCAAAAAGATAAATGTTGACTTTTTAAAGTTTATTGCTATTCATGTCTGAGTTCTGAATTTGAGTTCCAGAAATAGAAACTATTAAAATTATACTAAATTTTACTAAAAGAATATAAGAGGTGATATATTACCATCACGGATCCCTAATTGTATAACTCTGACTCTAGGCTTACCTATTCTTCAGGCAGCTGTGGCACTGAAAGCATCTTTGACATTTCAGAAAGTGATAGCAGGATGGAGACCATGAAATGTCTAATACTTTTTTTTGGCAATGGGATCCAAAAATTTCTGGAGCTTGGAGGGGGTTCTTCTTTTGTTTTTCACTGCATTTACTTTAGAAAATAGGAATTTTTTCTGGCCAGTGTAATTTTTATCAGCATATACACTATAACCATCAATATTTTAAGGAAATAAATTATAATTTTTAGATGGGGAAAAAATATGTGAAAACAAATCTCCTCCACCTGCTCACTCTCCCTCTGAGTGAAGCCTTTCTTCTGAGTTTGATCACACTCTAAATTTATCCAGCTTGTTAACCTCCTGACTGTATGGCATCATTTTCAACAGTTTTACTTTTAGGAAAACGGTCAGTGCTGGTGCCATGAGCAGACAGCTTGGAGGTAGCCCTAACATTGATTGAGACTAGGAACAGTGGCACATTTGCAGCTGAGGCCTCTCTGAATGACCATATGGATTTAATGGAGCTCAGCAAGGAGCAAGCCTGTCCTGTCTGGCACAGCTATATCAACTCACTGTAGATGTAACCAGGGACAGTTTAAAGCAGTCCTGCCAGTACCATCGGTTACCTCTAATGAGCCAAGCCAATCCTAACTTCATAAAACTTAAACTTTCTTTGTCCTTTCATTGATTCTATAAAAAACTTTAAAAGTTAATTATCCAATTCTATCTTTATTCAGCTTCTAATATACAATTGGTAATTTCGGGCTTAATGACTAATTTTATCTCTTTTCTTAAGAAAACTTAATTCTCCTAGGTTTGTATCAAAGAAGAAATAGTTCTGGTACAGTAATATTTTGTTTAAATCATTCAATACTGTTTCTAGAGGAAATTCAGACAGTTTCCACTTTCACCACTGTAAATTCCCACTTTATTTTTGACTTCCCCACACAAACTTTTCAGAAAAATTAGCATACTAGTAAATTACACACTTGGCAAAACAGGATTTATGTTAATTTGATTTTCGTAATTCTTCTTTATAGACTTATGTCAGGAAAATGTCCTGTCTTTTCTATACTCTGACAGACACAGAAAGAAAATCAGGTAACCATTTAAGCAACTAAAATATGTGACTCCTTAAGCCAAAGGATTCTGAATTTTGCCTTTATAATAAATTTTCTTTAACATATTAAGATATATTAAAAATAATTATCTGATTTGCTCATATATAAAAATCCAACAGTTGATCAAATAATATTTAGCAAAAGATTGAAAAGACACTGGGTTTTTTCTGTATAAAATATTCTCTTCTGGCTTTCTGGAGTATGACTGTTAATTGGGACTGTTAATATGTTGGAGTATGAAATGTTAATACATGTCAAGGTACTCAAACTGGGGCAGTAGCTTTGGAAGAAAAAGATAGCATTTGTTTAACTACAAAAAAAAATAAAAAACAGAACAAAAAAGTACACTGGAGACAAGGAAACAAAACAAACATTCTAGTTCTGGATACTTTTAAAATGTGCCTTGACATTTGGAAAAAGCATGTAGAAATATCTTAGCCTACTATTTTTCCTTTTTGTAAACAGCAGATGTTGTAGAGAGAAGAGCCCTTACCAGCAAAAGATAGGGTTTATTAGAACAGTAAAAGGCATGAGTAATACTTTGAAGAAGCTCCCTTTTAAAGTACCTGTGAAAACTCAAAGTGAAACAGAACAGGAATAAAATGTTTTGTAAACTTGTCTTTCCAACCATGTGCGTATGATTACTGTGAGGGTGATGAGGCACCAGAACAGGCTGTCCAGAGGAGTTGTGAATACCCCATCCCTGGCAGGGTGTAAGGCAAGGTTGGATGAAGCTTTGAACAACCTGGTCTAGTGGAAGGTGTCCCTGTCCAACGCAGGGGGGTTGGAACTAGATGGTCTTTAAGGTCCTTTCCAACCCAAACCATTCTGTGTTTCTTCTCACGAGTTTATTCCCAGTTTCACTAACTTTTGAATTGCAACAAATTTTAGTTTCTTCCATCCCAAAGAACTTTTTCTCTCCATCTGCTTCTTTGCTGTGCACAGGAAGAATTCTTCCCAAGAGAGCAAGTGACCACAAGAAGAAGAGAGTAGTTCTCTGATGCTTTATGGAGAGTGCTCCTTGACATAGGATATGGAAAACTGGTTACCACTTATTCAATCTAACATGAATATAAATAAAATAGCAAAATTGTTACTGTTAAACTGAAAACCTGGATATTTTCTTTTAAATTATTACAGAAATACTTTCCCTGGGAAAAAAAATCCTCATGATTTCTGCTTCTTAGACTTACATCTATTTGCAAGGAATTTAACACATAAATGCAAAGATAAAGATCATATCACTAGAAAAGTAGTACTTACAATTAACTTTGAAGCTCCAGAGAAATTCAAATTTAAATTTCCACTTTCCATCCATTTGCCTTACTATCTTCAGTACAACCAAGTCTTGCAGAGGAACATCTACGTTTAAGTCATTTATACCAAATGCTATTAGGTGATTGCTCGTTTGGAAGATTTTTTGTTGTTGTTGGGTTTTGCTGCTTTTTTTTGGCTTTGTTTTCTATTTTTTCTTAAGGCTGATTATTATCATATTAAGCAATTTTTTAGATTGTAATATGAGATTGCTGGTTTGGATGATTAGTTTATGTTCTACCTCTGCTTCTATTTTTGCCAGAATTTGACTATTCTCTGTGGAGTGTTGCCAAAGTAGATGATGATATCAATTTGAGTGACAAAATATATCTAGTGCTGTAAAACAGCTTGACAGTCTTTCTGTTCTTCTTCTATTAGTTTTTCATCTGTAAACCCTTGCAGGAGAAAACAAGGACACCTGGAAACATCCTTGAAGAGATGATTTTTTTCCTCCACAAAGTGTGAAATTTAGATTTAATTTTGAAAAGGGATATAGCTAACTAAATAGAAAAACCTCAGCTGTCTCTATTGATCTCACCATAAACCTAAAAATGTAGGCATTTTTTCTCAAGTTCATTGAAAATCCAACCACATTAACCACTTTACAGGACCCTTTTATCTAATAATTTCTCCCTTTGGGTGACACACAGAAAAGACAATTATAAATTACAGCTATACATTTCAGAGGCTCAAAATTATACTTGCCTTAGAGTTCTCTTTATTACTTACCTATCCAAGCATGATAAATCTCCAAGATATAAGTTTAAGCACAGTTTTGGTTTTAGATATTCTGAAAATAAATGATTCTGCAAATAATTAGGTGTTTGGAAGCCACTGACAAAGTGCTACACTGCTGTAAAATAAAATAAGACACATAGATCATATGATACTAGAGTGTTTGGAAGACTGCTCCTTATTTTAATAAAAATGTGGTAAACGACATTTTTCAATCTGCAAGCTTTTTGTGAGAATATCTCATTTACAATCCCTTTCCATTACAAATTCTTGGTCTCTCTCTTTACCAGCAGCCTGCAGCATGCCAATTAAAAGAACCCTTTAAAACATGTTGATAGGAAAGAAAAGAATTCTTTTTATTTTAATACAAAAAATCAAAATAATATTGTTTCAAAACTGGAGAGGCTTTTAACAAATTTCACATAAAATTTGTAACTTTGGCATCTTTGCGTATTCTGTATTTTCATATCCCATACTCTGGAATGCTGAAAACCTCAAATCACTTATCTGTATCCTTGCTTATTAGATAAAATATGACATAAAGTGTTTTCCAATTAGTTATGTATTCTACAAATTATCTGTTGAAATAACTATTAATTCTAAAGTAAACTTTTAAACACCCTGTACTGGCTAGATTTCCTTCCTGGAGATTACTTAAAACTAGTGTAGTTCTGCAAGTCTTTCCCTAAAATGGTTATACTTCACAGAGAGAAACTCTTCTCTTGATTATTACAAAACTCACCATTGAAATCCTACTGATTCGTTTCTTGTGTGTTAAAATATGATGGACTAAAGAACCTAAGAATTGTGCTTTCGACAAAGGTTCCCTTTCAATTTGGATTTTCATTTCCTGCTGTTCATGTTGATCAGTTATTATGAGAATGAATAGGTGAACTTAAAAGCCTGTGCTAAAATTGTTCCCCTCCTTAGTCTACGCATAAAGGAAAAAGGAGGAATAAGAGAAGGGGATTATTATGACCATCAAGTTAGCAGCTTCCAGTTTGGCCTTTCCTGATTGTAATCAAACTCCTTATGCTGACAAAAAAAAAAAAAAAAAAAAAAAAAAAAAAAAAAAAAAAAAAAAAAAAAAAAAAAAAAAAGCAAAACCGCCTACTTTCACAAGAAACTGTGGTTTTGTGATTTCCTTTTTACACACAATTTAGCCACATGAAAGAAATCTTTTGTGTTAATAATGTTACACACTTAAGCTCTTTACTGAGCTGGGCTGTCTACTGATTTACTGCAAGTCATTGTCCAAATCTAACAGATTATTCTAGGGATTCCATAGAGATCACATAGACAAAATAGTTTTGTTGTTGCTTCAGAAATGCTCTTGTCAAGAAGCAGGGTTAAATGAGAAGTAAGAGATTAAATTAATGAAGACATGAGCTCATATTCTTTGACCAAGCTTGTTTGTGGGAGGACGGTTTGTAAGGATAGTGCTGAAGGCAATCTCCCTTGATGAATTACAGCTGTACTAATTACCAAAGAGTGGAAACAGCTTTGCCAACCAATGAGGATGGGTTTTATAAAGAGTGGGTTAGCTGGTCGAGAGTCAGTTGGATTCTGTTGGCTGTGCTGTGAAGAGGAAGGGTCATGTGGTTCTGCAAGGGACAAACAAGGTAAGATGTTGTAGTCATGCAGAAGGAAAAGAGGAGGAAAGAAGGAATCAATGCTGTGTGGAGCTGCCTATGAGAAGGCCACAGAGAGAAAGCATGAGAAGTTTTTAAGCTAATAAGGGACTGATGCTGGTGTCAGTTGTACCTCCACTGTTACTTGATCACCATTTAATCATTTGGCAAGCACAATTTCACAGTCTGGATAGTAGCTTTCCTAGCTTGTTTAGCTTAGCTTTCTCCTGTATTGGCAAAATAGCAATTATAAATAAAAATATTAGTAAATAGCATCTCTCACTTTCTTCAGCCATTGAACTGGAAGCATTTAATATTGAAGATGTCAGGTTTCGGGGTCAGCCAGCTCTGTGGCTTTTGTAAAACTTTGCTCAAGATCAGATAATAGCAACATACTGTATTTGTAGACTTTTAAAACTGTATTTTTAAATACTTTTAAATATGAGGCCTGTCAGTCATTAATTTGGGTCATTCTGCACCCTTGTCTCTAAATTGCAAGATCTAGCAGTCATATGCAGAAATAAATGTTAACTCTTTGTCTCGGTTTGAAAGACAGGTATGGTCTAAGGAAAGGCAAGAGCCCCTTTTCTGCGATGCAGAGTGCAACCCCCCTCCCTTCTAATTATTTTAGGTCCAATTCAGACACCTTCAGGCAGGAGATATGGGGATAAGAATAACAGTTCTTTACTGGTATCTAACAAGGCAGAAAACAACAACAGCTATAAAATTGACAACAGAACAATCTAGCTCTGCTCCAGTCCCTTCTGGCCGCAGGCCGTCTCCCTGTGCTGTTACCGGTGCTGGGGGCAGGGCAGATCCTGCGCAGTTGAAGAGGGCTGGGTGATGGCGGCCGCGGCCCAGGAGTGAGAGGGGATGGGAAAGTGACTCCCCCCTCACCGTGTCGGTCGTGGTGCTCAGCAGAGTGTCCGGAGGTAGTAGGGTGAGCTAGGAGAGCAGCAGAGCGGTGTCCAAAGGCAGGGAGCGTGGATCTCAGCGCTGGGATGGCAGGGGGAGATGCCAGAGCGGAGCCCAGGTTGTCTTCCCACTCCAACGAGCCAAGCGAGAGAGAGCCCCGCTCCAGACCCCCATCCCACCTTTCCTTTTCCAGTTCCCCCCCCCTCCACCTCGCCCTCCACCCACCCCCCCTACGAGAGAACATTATCTGTCGTTTCAAGGTGTAGCCACAACTACTTAGCATAACAATGGGAGGAATTCCACAGAAAGAAAAGGGGAGCAATCCAACCCCCAACACTCTTCCTCAATGATGTAAGTAAAGTGCAAATAGAAGAGGATGAAAAATACAATACTGGCATGAAAATAAATAACTTACAGTTGATTTTTTTTTTTTTTTTTTTTTACCTTTGAGCAAGTCCTCCTCAACTCAGGACAAACTAGAAGCTTAGACTCTGAGGCAAAGTAGTCAATATAGCCATTTGCTTAGTCACAGAAGTCAAAGTCATGGAAGTAAATATACAGTTATCTTAATCAATCGCTGTAAATAGTAAATCCTTGAATAGCAAACTATGTCTATTCATTAAGTATGTGATATTCTTCAAATTCTGTTTCTTTATTGACAAACGTTTGTTAGACTGTGACTGGAAGAAATGACAGATTAAAAACCCTGATTGTCATGTACATGATGTAAGTCAATGCAAAGTCAGTGTAAAACAGCATGTGGTAAAACTAGGAGTTTAAATTAAAAAAGCAAAACATATGGATTCATAAACTTAAATCAAATGCTTTTCATCCTGTCTTTCCTAATGTCAACAACGATTAAATTGTTTGCCTAGTACCTCAGATACCAGATAATGTTTGATTACCTAAATAAATGAAGTGTAACAAAAAAGGGTAGATTACTTCTTTCAGTTTTTTGGGGAAAGGGGTATATATTCCCTATAATGAAAGAAAGCAACAGACAAGATCATAACTGCCTTGACATGAATGTTTCTTAGAAATTTCTTGTTTGGCAGGAACTCTTTATTGCTGGATTTCAGCTCAGATCGCCATTCTTCTAATATTACTACAAATGCAGCTATGGTAACTATTACTTAACCATCTTGAGTAAGATTCCATATGAAGAGTTATTTATCTCTTTGAGGTTTTTTGCTCTAAAATCTTTATTCTTATGGCCATGAATAAATTAAGGTGTACTTAATGCTTACTTATACAATATAGTAAAAAGTAATAATATTTTATGAAATTTCAATATATGTGATGGCTTTATTTTTTAAAAAATTCCAATTATTCACATAGCCTTTTTCTAAAAGGTTTTGGTCAAAGTAAATATGGATTCCTTCCTTAACATCAAATTGAAGCAAAAATAATACCGTGTGTCAATTAATGTAAATAATATACAAAAAAAGTAAAAGAAAACAGTGTACAGAAATTATGCTAATCTACACTGAAGGAACATGGATAATTCAGAACAAAAAGAAGTGTACTGTAGGGTCACCCTACATGTTATATGGTCAGAGTTACTCAACATTGCTAGCAAAAAAATATGCTAGTGGCAAACACAAAGATGTTGAAGCAGTCATGTTGAGGAATTCCTGTGTTACTCTTTGCCTAACTTTTACTGCTGCAGTGTGCCTGAAACTTTAGGCTTTGTGATTTGCAGAACCCTAACCCTAGGTGTGACCCTAATCCTAGACACAGGGGTAAAATCAGCCATGGCCAATGGTTGGCCTAAAGTAGATAGGTGCAGAGGGAGCCATATTATGGCAGCCTTGTGGTCCCCTTGACATGGCTTTTCTACTGGCATTGTGGTTGGGTATGAGGGCTTTGTGCTTGACTGAACCTTAAACCTAAGCATAATCCAAAACCTATGCTGAGAATTGGAGAAGGCAAGGGAGCCAGATAAATTACAAGGAGAAACCTATAGTGGGAGAAAAAAGGTGGCAGATTTGTCTCCACTTTGTCATGATATATGCAGATATAGAGTGCCTGGAGCTGTGGGATTGCAGGTTTTTGGAGTTCTAACCCTAATATTAGGAAGGGATTTAAAGCAGCTAGGGGATGATGTGGGTCTCAAATGGAAATGTCAGGAGGAGGACATGATTTTCCAGTATTGTGTTGTACTTGACATGATTTCTGTAGCTGCAGTGTACCTGGAGGCTTTGCAGTTTTTCTGAACCCTAAGCCTGGGCTTAGGCCTAACCATAGCTATAACCATAACCCTAGGCGGAGCTTCAGTGTCCTCAGGGGAGCGAATGAGGTTCCAAGGAATAAGCTGTGATGGGAGCCATGTTGTGACAGTTTTGTGTTCCCCTTGGCATGAGTTCTGTACCAGAAGTGTACCTGGACCATGGAGCTTAGTAGTTTGCCGAAGTCTAAAACTAGGTGAAGCCATAACCCTAGATTTCACCCTAACCATAGACACAGGAGTAAAATGAGCCATGGACTATGGATGGCCTCAAGTAGAAATGCGTGGTGGGAGCCATATCATGGCAGAGTTTTGTAACCCTAGGCATGCCTATTGCATCTGCCTTGTGTCTGGGTATGTGGGCTTGGTGCTTTTCTGAACCCTAGCCCTGGGAGTAACCCCAACCCTAGGCATAACCTTAACCCTAGACTTCGCACTTGAAATTGCATGGGATTCCATTAAATCCAAGGAGAAAGCTGTGTTGTGAGCCATGTTTTAGCAGTTTTAGCTGCCTTTTGTCATGACTTCTGCAGTTGCAGTGTGCCTGGAGCTGTGGGTTTGTGGTTGTCTGTGCCCTATCCCAGGGCCAAACACTAATGCTAGGCAGAACCTTAACCCTAGATGGGGGATTTGAAGCAGCCATGAGCTGATGTGGGTGTCAAGGAGAAACATCTGCGGTGGGTGAAATGTTTTCACAGCTGTGCTCTGCTTGGCATTAGTTTTGCAGCTGCTGTGTGCTGGGAGCTCTGGGATTCGTAGTCGCCTTTGGCCTGACCCAGGGCATAAAACAATCCCTGGGCCTAACCCTAACCCTAGAGTTGACAATAAAAATTGCATGGGAGTCCATTAAGATCAAAGAAGAAAGTTATAATGGCTGCCATACTGCAGCAGTTTTGTGTTCCCAATGTCATGACTTCTGCAGCAGCAGTGTGCCTAGAGTTGTGTGGTTTGCGATTGTCTATGACCAATGCCTGGGCCAAACACTAAACCTAGGCATAACCCTAACCCAAGACATGGAAGCAAAATGAGCCATGGCCTATGTCTGGCCTCACGTAGAAAAGCGTTTTGGGAGCTGTATCATGCCAGGATTTTGTAGACGTTGGCATGCCTATGGCATCTGCATTGTGTCTGAGTATGTGTGCTTTTTACTTTTCTGAACCCTAACCATGGCCTAAACCCAAACCCTAGGCATAACCTTAACCCTAGACTTGGCACTTGAAATTGCATGGGATT